AGAGAGAGAGAGAGAGAGAGAGAGAGAGAGAGAGAGAGAGAGAGAGAGAGAGAGAGAGAGATTGCCAGTCTGTCCATTATGTGATTGTGACACGTGCTGCTTGGTTTGGTCTTTGGCTTTTGCCTTCCAGCAAACGCTCCAAGATGCACGCCCAGCGTTACGGCTCACGTGACAAGGCTACCTACTTCGTACAACTCCCCCAGGCCAACTGTCAATCACACAATCTGGGCCCAACTGGCGACCAGCTACTGCCAAGCAGATAAGCAGATTGGATGCTGATTACTTCATTTTCTACATTACAAGACCAACTGCGTACACAGTACACATCCGTGGCACTCTGAGTTTGTTGTTTGCTTCGATGTGTTTTTTCTGCCGAAGGCGACTTCCGACATCTTCCCCAGGCCAACAACTTTCAATCACCCAGTCTGGGCCCACCATACTGAGACCTCACCCACACAGACACACACAGACACACGCACTTCCACACACACAGATATACTCAAAAGTTCTCAAAAACACACAGACAAGTTCCCTAGCAAACATACGTACAAGATCTGTCCCGTCCCGTTGTCCGCCGTTGATCTTTTGGCTAAAGATTCCGCTAATGATTTTGTTTGCTGTGTTTTCTATTTAACTTATTTAGAAAACACAGCAAACAAAATCAATATCAGAATCTTTAGCCAAAAGATCAACGGGGGACAACGGGACGGGACAGCATTTTTTTCTCAGAAAAGTTCCCGAGTTCTCAGACGGGCGGGGGACAATCTGGGACCACCAACTTTGCGGGTCAATGCACACAGCGCAAAAAAAAAAAAAAAAAAAAAAAAAACGATGCTGAGAAGGTAACGGCTTCCCAAAAAAAGAAAAAGGATGCTGAAAAGAAATACAAAAGTGTCAGGTGGAATTCCGTGCTGTTGTCTTGCAAGCGGATGTCTCTGTCGGCTGTCAGGCTCTTCTTTTGTTATTGTGAAAGATGGGGCAAGTGATAGGACAGTTCATTATGTTTTTTTTCTTTTTTCTTTCTTTTGTTCTTTTTTCTTTTTCTGCTTTTGAGGGCGAGAAGCCGCAACAGGGCATCTAGTTATGATGATCTCCCTAGTTTGGCATATGGCACAGTGGTATCATTTGAAACTGTAGTATAGATGGTAGAACACAAGCAGCCGCCAATCAGAGCAGGGATTTCCCAATCGGTAGGCCCAATCAGAGCATTTCCTGCTCATACCCATCGTTCGAATTGCAAAGTGGCAGGGGGACTGAACTGGTGGTTAAAGTGAGGAAATAAGAGAGAGAGAGAGAGAGAGAGAGAGAGAGAGAGAGAGAGAGACAGAGAGACAGAGAGAGAGAGTATCGTTCGAATTGCCAAGTGGCAGGGTGACTGGACTGGTGGTTAAAGTGAGGAAATGAGAATGAGAGAGAGAGAGAGAGAGAGAGAGAGAGAGAGAGAGAGAGAGAGAGAGAGAGAGAGAGAGAGAGAGAGAATTGCAAAGTGGCAGGGTGACTGGACTGGTGGTTAAAGTGAGGAAATAAGAGAGAGAGAGAGAGAGAGAGAGAGAGAGAGAGTAGTAGGCGTTCGACAAAGCAAATAAGGCCGCAGGTGCGTGAATGAACTGCTTCTTTCTTCCTGCTTTTTTCCGAGATATGATCGGCCATTCCGTCCTCCCCCCCCCCCCCGGCTCCTCTTCTCTCTTGTTCCATTCCTTTGTTGTCTTTCCTCTCTTTTTCCACTCTTTCGTCCTTCTTTTTTATTTATTTATTTACAAAACACCCAAGCCCCTTTTATTCTGGGGGGCGTCAGTCCGGTTGCTTATCACCGGCAAAAGCATGAGCACAAAGAAAAGAGCCAAAGGAACAGAGTTGAAAAAACAGTCAGCCCATCCCTTGCAGCACAAGTCACGTACTCAAGTGGGGGCCTTGCTACGATCCGCAAAGTCCGCAAAGTCCTCGTCTACCGTCTTCACCCGAATAGAACGCCCGGCCATTATAGCCGTACTTTGTGCACTTTTCAGTCCAGATGCAGTTATAATAACCGGGCGTTCTCTTCGGGTGCAGACGGTAGTCGTATTCGTTCCTATGAACAAGTCCACACCGCCATCACCCGCTAATCCCTTTGTTCCACACCTCCTTGTTTTTTCTCCCTTCTATCTTTATAGAGATAATAACCTACCCTTCACCCCTTTTCTATTTCTGCCCCGCTGGCCATTTCTAAATTCACCGGTCTCATCCAGTCTCCTCTGTCATTGTATCCTGTCCGTGAACACCACAGTGTTAACGATCATCGATCATCGGCACACTGCACAGAATGGTAGCAAACACACGTATGACGTACGTGAGTACGTGAGTTACCTGCCGTACGTTATGGAATTATATTGTACGGAACTCAAGACTGTTGGAATTTCTGTGGAGGACAACACGTTCGGCGATTTTGGCCTTCTCAGTAATTGTAAAGACAACACGATGGGTAAGGTCTTCCTCGAATGAATTTCTGGAAAATGGAAGACAGAAAAAAAAATGGCAAAATGAAAGGTACTTAGCAAGCAGACAAAATGAATCGAAATATAAAACCACCTTGAATTTCTGCTGAAAGATAAATCAACATGACGACCTCTTGCCGAACAAAATGCCTCAAGGAACCAAGAACCGAGAAACCTGAGAATCACGCATATAAAATCATACGCAAAGTCCTTCGGGACATCCGTTAAAATTGGAACGATACAGAGAAAGAAGATTAGCATGGCCCCTGCGCAAGTAAGGATGACACACATAAATCGAGAAATGGTCCAAATAAAAAAAATTAAAGAAATTATATGCAAAAACAGGAGATATAACCACATACCAGTCACAGAGAAGAAAGACAGTAAAGTAGTATGCGAGTCATGGAACCGTACCGACCGGATACCAATAATTTAATCGTTTTTCATCAAATAAACTCATGATATTCCATCGGCGGATTTAAAACGATTCATTACGCCGAAATTCTCGAAACATGCAGGACTACAAACAGGCATACCGAATTAAAAAAAAAAAAAAAAAGGCATACCGAGTTTCATACAAGGACAGAATTCCGAGAATCTAACTCACAGACACAACACGGACTCCTGTATGAAATTCGGTATGCCTTTTTTTTTTTAATCCGATGACGCATCCAGCTAATGTCTCCAGTTTCCTTCCTTCCCTGACAGATGGACAAGTACAAGGGAAGGAAGGAAACTGGAGACATTAGCTGGATGCGTCATCGGATATAAGCACACAGACCTTTGTCGGCGCAGAGAATTTTCGGACACATCGCGACCAAGAGAAATGTCCGACCAAGAGAACATCAGGACGGTAGGATTGATCAACGGCGCCGAGCATACGATGATATGAGGAGACTGCAGGGAGACTGCAGGGACTACCGTCTTCACCCGAATAGAACACCCGGTCATTATAGCTGCGTCTGGACTGAAAAGTGCCCCAAATACTAGAATAGAATGACTGGGCGTTGTATTCGGGTGAAGACGGTAGGTTTCAGCCGGACAGAGAAGTATTTCGACCGAGGAAGGGTATATATATATATACGGTTGATAGTGGCTGAAATGATTACCTGAGCAGAGAGGTAGAAGGGTAATCGCGACTGTATCTGTCGCATGCCATGGACAGAACGTGTATTCTGTGAAATTAAACCCTCGCACGTGCTGTCCAATATTGCAAGTGTGTATCTCTAGTGCCTCTCCCCTCAACCCATCCTATCCTATCATTTATCCTCCCACCCTCCTATCCCCTTCATCCCATATCTAGGTACAATCTATGACCCGTGCTGTGCTGCTTCGCACGCGAGCATCCTAACTACCTTACACCTGTTCCACGTACTTTCGCTAAAGCCATCCTAACTATTTTACATCTCACGTACTTTCGCTAAAGCCATCCTAACTACTTTACAACTGTTCTCAGCCTACCGCATCCGAACATGGAACATGAACTGACCCTCCATGGCGCAACAAAACAGAGGCAAATTGTGGAGAGGCTGACCCGTATGGGGGGTATGGGGGTCTCGGGTCAGTAACTGTGGGTACTGACCCCATATTTTCCAAAAAAAATCCCTCCACCTTCCCATCTCCCCCATACCTTCGTCCTTTTGCAACTCATCATTTGTTTTTTTTGGTCTGTCACTGCTGTTTTGTTTCTGCAGGGTCCAAGGGATGGATCGTCATGGTGATGGTTTGTCGTTTTCCTCCTATCATTGGTGCCGGTGAGAAGAAAAACTCGAGCAAAAGTCACAAGTAGATCGAAGAAGGGCGATCCAGTGAAAGAGAGCATCTGCGGGGTTTGGCGGCTGTCTCTTATACACATCTAGATGTGTATAAGAGACAGGGTAATCCCACCCTCAAAGGGCGAGGGAGAATGTTAAGGAGGAAGAGCTTGAGGAGGTGGGAAACCTGCGTTGGGTGCTGAAAGAGAACAACGAAGAAGAAGATGCGACGAAGGAAGAGCGTGAGGAGGATGTGGAGTAGGAAGAGTGGGAGGTCAAATGTGTCTCCTTCTCTCTCTCTCTCCCCTTCGTCCTCTCTCTTTTTTGCGCGCGTTTAGCCCTGACGTCCGTCCACCTGCAAAAGAAAGAAAATGAAATGCTCTTCTTAGGTCGGGCGTTACGAAAGACGGGAGGCGGGTTGGAGGGAGGAAGGAGGTAAGCAGGGCATCGGGCGGAGGGAGGAATGGAGGGAGGAGGTCAGGTGGACATGGTGCGGAGGAGGAAGAGGGGAGGAAGGAGATCGGGGGAAGGAGGTCAGTGAGAATCGGGCGGAGGAGGAAGGGGAGGGAGAAGATCGGGGGAAGGAGGAGGTCGGCCGGAGATTGGGCGAAACAAGCGGAGGGAGGTGGCCAGGCGGAGGAAGGTCAGGGGGAGGTTGAAGAGGAGGAGGTCCGGAGGAGGCCGGGAGGAATGGGAAAGGAGGCAGGGAGAAGTAGGGGTGAGCCAGGGCAGAAAGAGGAGGGAATGCAGAGGTTGGGTGGTGTATGGAGGGAGGAGGGAAGACGTCAAGCGAAGGGGGAGGGAG